ACCATCCCAGTAGTATTCCGGCACCGAATTGGAAGTTCCTGGGGGAGGTATGTCTCGAGTTGGTGGTATTCCACTGGCGCCACTCGCAGACCACACGCCGGCCAGGTGCGACCTCATGGCTCCCACCTATTCCGACACAGGAGGGGTCACCTTCCTGGTACTATCCAGCTCAATCAGCTAGTGGGTGCCCAGACGCGCGACTGTAGGACTGCCACCCTACCCATCCTCACATCAATTCCCCTAATGCATCCCCTATACCCACTATCCTACCTCAGTGGTACAAGCGCTCAGGACAATCACCCTACCCCTCGGAGGGCGACATGGACCGAACAGTAGTTATAGGCACCTGGGCTAGACAGCTACCCCACCCAGCCCCAGTGGAAGCCGGAACACGCAAACCTTGTTACCCAAGGACTTCGGATGCCAGGCACAATCAATATCATTATCAGTCCTACCGACGAACCGAATCTCGGCCAAGCATTCACACAGGCGAGAGCAGACTCCCCGTAGCCCCGATCTGAACCCCATGACGAACCTCTGACAGAGATCGGTCTCCCCCACCTAACTCTATCGACATGTCTGTATCGTAACCTATATATTTGTGTGTATACCCACAGGTATTACAGATATGACTGTTTGCGGTTCGTATGCCCAAAGGCCATATGTATCTGCCCGTAGGCGGTGTGTAGTGTGTTAGTGACCTGCAGGCTGTGCAAGTGCCCATAGGCCACGGTTATGTGCCCTAAGGCGGTGTATAGGTGAGCCCTAGGCTGTGTAGTTATGACTTATTAGTAGGTACCGAGAACCATGATGTACGAGTATGTGTGTATATGTGACGCGCAACCTCACGCCCTATGCTGTCTTCCGTTCAGAGTATCAAGGGTGCGGAAAAAGGCCCTGAAAAACAGCAAGATGGGTTGTGCCAAGGATTTTTGGGAAATTGAGTGTGGGGACACAGACAAAACTGAAATCCCCCCGTGTTGGTCTGATGAAGTAAGAGAACCGGTCGGTTGCAACGCGGGTTACGAAGAAGCGCGCGCGGGTTTCGTGACGCGGGGAAGTTCGAATTCAATCCAGAAAATACTGCCGAACCTCCCACCGAGCCACGACTCTTCGTTTGGAGTGAAAGGGAGCGGGCACGTACTTAGTATCCCGTTTTCAGATTAACTCCTGACGCCGCACGTTGCACAATTCCAAATCTGACGTAGACAGCCTCAATCGCGTGGCCCTTTCCTTATGTTCGTCCTCATTCCGTACTCGGTAGTGGAAGCCCTTTGATTGGTAGTGATCGAAGCGTTGGCAATCACTACACAGAGTTTTAGGCCAATGGGGCGCCACTGCCGACCACGGGATGACGATCAACTCGTTAAACGGTAATAGCAATGAATATGGCGGAAAATGCGTATCGATAATGACAAACCCAGCACCGACAAACCTAGAACACCGATTTTCATGAGGGACGTAATATCGCCCACCGATCTTTGTGACGGCTTCTCGTACGTCCCACTCACACACACGCGTCCTTTCCTCATTATACGGGAAGGGGCGAGGTGGGGATATGGGAGGCCGACGCCTAGCCGGGTTGAGCCCGTCAGTCCACATGGCAATCAATCATACGCCAAAGATATCCTCAATCATTCATCGTAGGCTCGGAATCGATACTAGTCAAAAAACACACAACCTATCGATCCAATCAGAAAGGCAGAATCAAAAACTCCTAAAAATGAAGAAGGAAGGGAAAGTCAGAGAGAGACAAAAACTCATGTCTGGTGAGACGCGGCCACTGTTCACGTGTACAGATCGCACGTGGCTTTGGAGTCCCTCATTATTCTACGAGGGTCTGTTGTATATGTTGTGCAGCATAAGGCAGATGGCATGGGCAGCGTGTCCCGAACGACAGCTCTCGGGGTACTCTTACGTAATCACAGCATCAACAGATCCAAACGCTCTTGCATTGTCGAACAAAATCCCAACAATATTGCCCCTGTCATCGATCCGTCCGGACAGTATCCATCAAGACGAGTTCCGTGCTCGATCATTTTCATCCCATACATACATTCATTGTGGAAGGTGCGAAAACGACAGTCATGCAATACCCCTGCCCTGTTGTGTCAAAGGCAATCACAACCCCTTTAGATCACTGATGGTTGCTACACGCGCATCCACCGTTCACAAGACACGACGATCAATTCTCAGTAGGTCCGGGGATTACCCAGGAAACTAATGGAAGAGTTCCGGAAGAAGTTCTTCCGAGCACACATTCACAAATGCTCATTCCATCACAAGCAAAAGATTGACTCATCATGCATAGTTATTCATATCAGCGAGAGAAGAGAAGGAGGGAGGAAGAGACAGGCGAGAATATCAAGCCAAGAGGGAAGAGTTACACTGAGATCGGGAAATGCAAAGAAGGTCCGGCTTTACCGTCGTGAGCTCACACCAAAGAATGGAGTCGCAACAAGGGGGGGGGGGGCGTAATTGCCACCAAATTCCAACATGGCCCCGGGCCAGTCATCCTTTCAACTCGGATCACTCATCCTCATTCATGCACCGACGATCTCGACCGTCGCGTGTCACCATCCACCACTGCGATCGTCACCCTGCCAACTTAGCCTCGACGTGGCTTGCCCAGATCCCACAGTCCGTCGTGGCGATCTAGCGCACATCCAGCCAGTCTACAGTCAGCTCATCAGGACTTTCCGACTCGCACTATACACACATCATCTAGCCACTGCTTCCCGAAAGTTGGCTGACGAGTTGCGAGAGAGATTTGTGGATGCGCCGGCGGAATTTATAGTGCGAGAAGGGAGAGAGATGCGGGGAAAGATGAAGAGTAGGGTAGAGGAGGGTAAGGGAGGGCTTGAGAGTAATCGCCCATTGAAAGCCATGTTGATCCCTCACCACCCGATCTCAGCCAATAAGAATCGTCGCGCAGTAGGAATCTCCTTTTACACGACGCTTCTCCTTGGCTAGATGGGAAGAGAGGATCGACCGGGTTTTTCGAGCGCGGGTCTTAGAGCGGGAAGAAGAGGAGCACGAAGGATAGCGCGAAACGGGTCCAAGATTCAGATGATCAAGAAAAAGAAAAAGGGCGCGCGGGGAAGGAGAGAGAAAAACAGTTACAGGGGGAGGGAGCGAGAAAGCATGTGCGCGCGAGGTAAGGCGCTGAGAGGGGTGCAAGAAGGAAGGAGGAGGGAGCTCGTTTGCATGGCGCCGAACAGCAAAAGAAGAATGGGCACCGAAACAGTTGCAGTTTTTCCCAATCCTACGCTAATTCAAAAATTGAACTCACCATATCCACGCGAAAAGTAGACGCGGGAAAAGAAAGAAAGTCCTACGCTTGTCCATATTCCTACAAAATTCCCAGAGTCTTCCATGTCGAGGCCGAGAACATTCACGAGCGAAAGGCCGCGCCGCGTTTTGTTGATTCCGGAATTCCTAACTGTCGAGCCAAATTTCGCGCACGCTCACTAAGGCGCGCAAAATTCCCATGCATTTTCAAATTAAAAGAAATGACAGAATTTCAAGAACTTCTATACAGATTCCAACGAGGTACCTTTAATCGAACAAAAACAGAGGGAGAGGGTTGGGGGGGGGGTTCTCGGAGACCAATCAAGACACATCTAGATGCAGAGAAAATACGGGGAGGGAAGGGGTCCGAAAGATGGCGCAGGTCCGGAAGCTGGTTCGTCACATATGTAACGTGCAGGGGGTTTCAAAATTATGCGATCTCCTGATTGCATGCCATGGTGGAGGAGGAGGGAGGGGGAAGAGAGGATGAATGAGGAACCAAGCGTATCAGGAGAGAAAGTGTCCGCATCAGCGCAGATAGTTGAGCCAGAGTTCATGTTGACGCCAACATCAATTGCAATATCTTTGCGAGTCTGTTGGCTCGAGCTGCGGGAATTCATGTCGCCCTTCGATCGCCGGAGATCGTCCAAGTGATGCCATCATCGTCCGTTGGTTCTCCGTGTGCTCTGCACCCCTACCTCGTCATTGGAAGTCCGCCCGCCGGTAGTCGACAAGGAGAGGATGATGGAGAGGTCGGGGCCACTCAGATGGGAGCGGAGGGAAGTAATCTGCCGCTTCGTCACCGAGATCAACGAAATGTACGATCCGGTGTGCGCGGGGGAATCGATGATTGGGTCGGGACAGGGATAGTAGGTAATCGGGGTATAAGGAGGGGATGGTGCGGAGGACATTATCCCTTAGGGACTCGTAGTCCTCCACGGAGGGAAAGGTGTCGGAAATGATACAATACAACTCCATATGGTTGAATTGTGTCCAGACGACACTGAAGAGGAGGATATTGAGAGGGAAGGAGGGGGAACGATGGGGGAAGACCGTGCATAGGAGTCGTGCGGCGAAGTGATGAGAAGAGGCGGGTGGCGAAGATGCGATAGTCCAGGGGGAATTCAAGAGCGCACCTTTTTTTTCTGTCATGTGTCCGCTGCTCTCGTCTCTACGGTGGAATGATTCAAAGATGATTGCCTCCTATGCATGCACACAATCCATGTTTACCTTTCTCTGTTTGTATTTGTCGTCTTTAACTTACGTTAAGCAACTTTCATCAATGATTTCAACAGCCATGTTTGACGTCCCACCACACCACCAGACGAAAACATGCATGACAAACGAATTGAAGACACAGGAAAAAAAAAAAAAAAAAAAAAAAAAAAAAA